ATAGGGCTTCCTGTATCTGACTTAATGTCTTTCATCGGTTTTGGAACATTTTCAGCCATCAGATTTTCAAATATTCCACCCAATTCTTTCTCTTCTCCTGCTCTGGGTTTTCAAGTACACAAATATTAAATATTAACAGTATATGCCCTATGTCTTTTACACTTTTTTCCCCATCCTTTTCTTTCTCTGAGCTTAATTCTAGGCAGTTTCTTCATGACATTGCGGCTCTGTCCATCTGCTATAAAATCCATCCACTAAGTTCTTAAATTTAGTGTTCAGTTTTACAACTTTCATTTTACTTTCTTTTACAGTTTTCAATTTTCTCAGTCTTAAACATGTTAGGTTTCCTAGAGGCAGAGCCAGAGCTTGGAATTCTTGTCCAGTGGTATTATTGAGGAAATGCTCTTAGATGAAACTTGTAAGGAAAGCAGGATGGGGCATGGGAAGAAGCTCAAGAGGTTTATGTGACTGAAGTCCTTACCTTCATCCCATAGGCTGGAGCTCTGGAGCACCAATAGCCTCACACAGTTGTCCTCCTGGAGGCAAGGCAGTGGGAGAGGGGAGCCTGTGACTTAAATAGTCTGAGATTAGTCAGTTACTGCATTCCAGAGAGGGTGTGGGGGTAGTTCATGCTGACCTCAGGGAATTCCAGGAGAGATGACCCCATCACCTGAAGTCAATTCTCAGAACAATGGGATGAGTTGTTAACACTGGGAGATGGGCGTTGGGGTAGAGTTGGAGTGAGCGAATCCACCTGGTACATAGAATCATGGTAGAGTACTACCAACATATTAAGCATGTTTATGATAAAGTTTGCACTTGATTATATCTGGATCTGCTGACAGTCTCTTTCTGTTTATTGTTTGTTTTGGTTTCGATCAATATTTTTGTCTCCTTGTATACTGGTTATTGTTGATAGCCAACATTATATGTAAAAAAAATCACGAAATATTTGAGGCCTAGGATTTTTGTATTTCTCCAGAGAGGATTTGACTGCCTCTGACAGGCTGCTGAGCATTCATACTAGTATTCTTGAATCACCTTAATCCAGTCAGGGAATGAGGCGATTCAGAGCTGGGCTTCAATTTCACTGAAGCCTATTTTTTCACTCTTACTCTGAGAGTAAAGCTTTTTAGAGTCCTTGGTAGGCCATTGTGAACTGGTTTGAAACCGGAAAAGTGAGAGTTTGTGCTGCCTGTCACTATCAGGACCAATAAGCAGAGACAGGGATTGAATCTTTATGGGCGCTTTATTCAGATGGCTGGGAATCCGAGAAGACAGTGGGTTGTGTACTCTAAGAAATCATCTTACATTTCCTTTCAAGCCAGCCTTTTAATAAGGAGCAAGAAATGTAGGAAAGGGATTTGGAATTCAGGAAAGAGGTTAATCAGATAAAAGCTGCAGTCTGGCAATTTCCCCAACATCCTTTCATCTGCTGACTGGGATTTTCTACCTGGGTCCTATGTCCTGGAGGATTTTGTCTGTGTCCGGGGCCATGGGATGTCTCTCCCAGAAACACAATGGTTCAGATAACATCTCGATTGCTTAGGGTCTCTTTGGAGTACAAAGGTGGACTTGCTTGTGGTCTCCTGGCATCAGGGTGCGCAGTACCTTCAGTTCTGAAACAGTAGCTTTTTACACGCATTGACTACTAATCTTATTAACTATCGCCTAAAACTAGAATTTTCCAACTCTTGAGCTCTCCCATCAGGTTCACCACTCTAGAAGAAAGTACGACATTCCAAGATCATTTCTGCCAGTCTCCTCCTCTGTTGAGATCTTGGCCCTGTAATTCTTCATTACCTCGTTGTCATGCGCTTATCCCCCAAATTCATGTTTAACTCCTAACCCCCAGTACCTCAGATTGTGACTACATTGGAAGACAGAGTCTTTAAAGTGGTAATTAAGTTAAAATAGGGCCATTGCAAGGGCCCTAATCAAATGATTGGTACCCTTATAAAAAGAGGCAATTTGGTAGGCATGTTATATAATTTCTTTGCATCTCTGTGCATGAATGAGATTGACATATATTTTCCTTTCTTTATATAGATACGCATTTGGTACCAAAATTATCCTAGCATAAAAATTCAGTTGGGCAGGTCTCATTTCCTATTCTCTAGAAGTGTTTGTATACGACTGCTATTAGAATTCACTGGTGAATTCATTTAGACCTAGAATGTTCTTTGTAGACATTTTTAAAAAGAATTATGAATTAAATTCCTTTGTTAGTTATAGGACTATTTAGATTTTCTATTACTGCATGTGCCAGTTTTAGAAAGTTGGAGAAGAGCTTCTCTTGAGACAGTATTTTATAGAAGCTGCACATTAAAATCATTTGGGACCTATCCTCAGAGGTTCCAATATAATCTGGGTATTAGTACTTTGTAAAAAAGCCTTTTGTTAATTAAAAAAATATGTCTTTGATTGTTTTGGTTTTAATTTATGTATTATATATTTACTACATATTTTATTATATATTATATTAAATGAATACAATTACTGGTATGTAATCAAAATTTTAATGAATGAAAGACAGAGTAAGTTATCTCACTTTCACCCCATCCTCATCTGTACTTTTCTGTCTCTTAGAAATCACCATTTTCATTAGTTTCCCATTAATCTAGCTAGTGCTTTTTATTCAAATACAAGTTTATAATATACATTTCTACACACACATTCTTATTCTCCCGTCATACAAAAAAGGGAACATATTTTATATATTGTTCTTTGTATTCATTATCTAATGCTAAGAAATCACCCTAAAATATCCTGGTAGTAATCATTTATTGTGGTTTTTGTCACTGAGGAATTTAGAAGTGGTTTGGCTGAGCAGTCCTTGCTCAGGATGTCTCACGAGATCACAACCCAGTGCTAGCTGGGTCTGTAATCATCTGAAGGCTTGAGGAAAATCCACTTTCAATGTGGCTCATTACATGGTTGGCAAGTTGACTGTGGCAGTTTGTGGGAGGCCTTGATTTCTCTCTATGTGGGCCTCTCCACAGGACTGCTTGAGTGTCATCAGGGCCTGGTGACTGGTGACTATGCAGAATGATTACTCAGACCAAGGTGAAAGCTGCAATGCCTTTGCCAGGCCTTACGAGTCTCACGGCATCACTTCCACCACATTTGCCTGGTCACACAAACCAGTCCTGACTCACAAGGTTGTACATACCAGATGAAGATCATTGTGGGTGTTTTTGGAGGCTGGCTAACACATTCTGTATGTTGGTTTTTCTTTTTCTGTTTTAACATGATTTATCCTGGAGATCTCTCCATATCACTACATAGAAAACTTCCTCGTTCTTTACATAGCTGTATAATATTCTATTGCAGGATATACCATAGTTTATTCTACCATTCCTCTGTTGTCACAGTAGCTTTTTTGTTTTGTTGTGCTATTATAAATGCATCAGTGAATAATGCACTTACATCCCTTCATTATGTATTCCAGTTTATCTGCAGGGTGTATTCCTAATAATTAAAATTGTTCAGTCAAAAGATGAATATGTCTATTGTATTTTTTTGGATAGATATTGCCAAACTCCCTTTCATAGGAATGTGTGACTTTGCACTTTCATCAGCCATGTATAAAAGTTCATGTTTTATGTAGCATAACCTTGCCAATTCCAGGATGTTTGCCAATATGATGGATGAGATATGTTATCTCAATAAAGTTTACATTTGCATTTCTTTTATTACAAAAAAGGTTTAGTTATCTTTTTAGATGTTTGCAATGTGACATATGTGTATGTGAATTGTCCATGTCCATTGGCCAATGTTTTCTAATGTAGTGTAAAACTTTTTCTTCTGTATTCTTATGAATTAAGGAAATTAGCCCTTTGTGATAAAATTTACATATTTCTTTCCAGTTTGTTTCACTTATGGTGTTGTTTGCCTTGCAGAAGATTTATGTTGTTGTTTTTTGTTGTGTGTTATGTCCTGTGATAGTACACAGCTATATAAAGAATGAGGAAGTTTTCTGTGTAGTAATATAGCAAGATCCCATGATAAATCATATTAAACAAACAAACAAAAAAAGTAGGAAAACTACCATACAGAATGTGGAGTCAGCTTCCAAAAGTGTGCCAATTTTCTTTTATGACTCCTGGATTTGAGTTACAGTTGGAAAGGCTTCCTCATTCCAAAGTTAAAAAAGGAATTCACTCATGTTTCTAGCACTTTTATGGCTTTGTTTTATATAAACTTTTGAGCCATTTGTAGTAGATTAAGGCATATGCTGTGAGAGATACATTCACATTTTTAACTGTTTTCCAAGTAACTACAGAGTAGTCCCAATGCCAATACCATTCGTTAAAAAGTCCATCTTTACTCCACTGACTTGATATTCTTCTACATATTTTATTATTTGACTTTGTTTTCTATCCCATTTTTCTATGTATTCATGCCATTATTACACTATTTTAATTTTCAAGCTTTAAAGTACACATATTTTAATACCTGATGGTGCTAAAACTCCCACACTGCTTTCCTTTTAGTGGCTATTCATTTACCTCTCCATGTAAATTTTAGAAACAGCTGAAACACCCAAAACCCTAATCATATTAAACATTAAGACCTATGGGACACAAAGGACAGTTTTGGGGGGCACATCTGGAAATTTCCCTTGGTCTCCCAGAAATAGTCCAAGCTTACTCCTCTACAAGGAAGTAGGAAAAACACATGTACTTCCATGAGCCAGCCTTTAGATAAAACAGACACCACCTGGAAGGCAAAACTGAGGGATTAAAGGAACAGAATCTGTGATTACAGCAGGGACCATCTAGGTCCTGTGGCCCTAAAACTGCCACAGTATCTCTACATTTCTCCTTTATTATTTAAAAAATTTGCACAGGATTTTCCCCCCTTGCAACTAGAAACATCCTAATATGTCAGAGATGCAAAATCTCTGTATTTACCACACAGAAACTTGACAATTTTCAACAGATGAGGTCAAGCTAAGGTTAAATTCACAATTTTAATGGAGGTCATGTTATGTGCATTTACTCCAGTTGGAGGCAGTAACTATTCATGAGCCAAGTTACAAGATCATAAATTTTTACTGTACAACTTCAGAAAAATGATATTTAAAAAAAAGCTATCGCTGGAATATACGTTCCAGTTTGATCAACATAGGCACAGTTTATACTTATTTACCTGGTATAATTATTAACAGAAATCCCTCACTCTCAAGTTATCCTGGCTCTAAAGCATATTTTTTGGATCTGAATAGTTTTATCTTTAGAAAAATGACAGTAATCTGAGGAGACGCCTAAAGATCTTTAAAAGTCAAAAGAATCCAATCTTTAAGCCCTGTGACTGGTTATGGAAAATAGTGTAACTAGGGAAGTTGTGCCTACAAAGAATTGTTAGAGTTATTTTTATTATAAATGCATTATTGTAATTTCCTATCTATTGAACTGCTGCTTTGGGGATGTATATTCAGGGGTTACAGAGACCCTCCTCATTGGAAGAAAGAATAATGCGATTCTTTTTTTTAAATTTTTTATCCTCACCAGAGGACATTTTTTCATAGCTTTTAGATAGAGAAGAAGGGAGAGAGAGAAACATTGGTGGGAGAGAGAAGCATCAATTGGTTGCCTCCCGTATGCATCCAGAGGGGGATCATATGAGCAGGGATGAGATCAAACTGCAACCTAGGTATGTGCCCTGACAGGGAATTGAACCCACAACCTTTCAGTCATGGGACGATGCTCCAACCAACTGAGCCACACTGGCCAGGGCAGAATGATGTAATTCTTTTTTTTTCCATTTTTAAAAATATATTTTATTGATTATGCTATAGAATGATGTAATTCTTATGAAGACATAGTAGGGAGCAAGGTTGGAAAGCATTGGTAGGGTCTGCATTAAATATATAGATATTTCTTCTATCATCTGCCACCACGTCTAAAATATCTCTGTAATCCAAACTCATCTGAGTCTTAATTTCTTCTTTAGTTCTTCATTAAACTGAAGTAGCACTACACACACTATTAATAACAATACCTGATTAGAAGGAAGCTGGCATTGGCACTTGGCAGCAAATCCCCCCGGACAGGAGCAAGATGGAGTCAAGGACGGATGAGGGCACCTGGTGCTCAACAAGAGGCTGAAAAGCCAGGCTCTGCCTAAAGAATCCGTGGCAAATCCTGGTATGTTATGTAACACCTGTCGTGTGTACCTTTGTCTTCCTCAACGGGTAATTCTATCTCCGTAGTCATAAAAGCTTGAAAAACATCAGAGCTTGTGCTTATTATTGCCTGGTGTTGTTTTTAAAGTGGCATCCATGTTAAATGGCTTTATGCCTTTGTCCAAACACACACACTGATTAAACGAGGTTCAGCGGTGAGGTGAACATATAACCTGTTCCACATGACATCCATGTGCTTTCAGCGTCTCTCCACACAGATGAGGTAGGGCTGGGGCTGCAATGTCATGCCTAACCTGGGCTTCAGATCTGGAACCAGTTCGTCTGGAAAATGCAAGTGAAACCGCTGAAGCAAAGCTGTGAAAAACAGGAACATTTCCATCCGAGCCAGCTGTTCTCCAAGACAATGTCTTCTTCCTAAACAGAAAAATTACACATCATAATTCTTTAAGAATCCACAATATTTTCCAAAATTTATGTCTTATATATGGGTGCCACTCAGGAAATCTGGAATTTAAAAAAGTTAGAAGAGGTTATTCTTTTTAAAGAATTTTCCTGAACTCCAAAGAATAGAAGTTGGCTTTTCATCTCCCAGAACCCATTTCTTTACTTTCTTTTGTTAAATCGTGGACTTGTGGAAACTTAGTAGTCTGTCCCCCACTTCCCTTACATGTTGCAACAGAGCCTAAGATATGCCATGAAAGCTCTAATTAGAAGTGTAACATTTTGTTCTATAGATTCAAGAGAAGATAATTTCATTTCAAATGACTAAAGGTGTACCCTTCCCAAATAAAAGAGCTGCCAGTCCATCTTCCATGGGTCTTGTGATCTGTGTACTCTTTGGCCACAGAAGCAGTGTTTTTGGAGGTGAGGTACAACAAACTGGGAACCAAGAGTATTGGATTCTAGCTTCACTTCAAATTATGAGTCATTCCCCTCGCAGGGTCTCAGTTTCTCAAGTTACTCATTACTGACTTATAGCTCTTGCAGTTGTGATTACAAGCCAAAAGTCCACACGCAAAAAGGTTTCAGAAGCCAGAGGTCTCAACAGTTTCTCTCTAGATACTAAATTCAGGCTTATTTTGAGTAGAAATAGTTGTTAATGATCTCTAGTTAAACTATACTCTCCTGTGAGAATCAATGCTGTTTTCAGAGTTGGAATATGTAATTCTACAACAGAATGCTTCAGATTAAGATGTTACAGTAATGAACCATTATTTTACTTTGTACTAAAGTTATGCCCCATGTGAAAGTTCTCTTACCTAGAGAAAATGGAACCAAAGCTTCCTTCTTGGAAAAATATCCATTGCTGTCCAGAAATCGCTCAGGATAGAATATTTCTGGGTCTTTCCAGTACTTTTCATCAAAGTGTACAGAATAAAGATTTGTAATTACTGTTGTACCTTTAGGAATGGAATAACCACGTACAACTGCATCTTCAGAGGTTGCATGGAAAATCCCTAGCGGTACTATATTGCAGAATCTTAAAACTTCATGCAAAACTGCCTCAGTATAAGGCATTTTGCATTTGTCATCCCAAGAAGGCTTCCCACTGGGTCCCATAATTAAATCAATCTCTTTCTGAACTTGTCCTGTCAGAGAAAAAAGAGTTCAATTTATTATGCAGTGCTTAAAAAGTAATATCTAAAATAATTTCCCTTTGGGATAAAACAAGCGATAACCTATAATAATAAGTCAGCAGGGTATGGGCACACCCAGATTCAGATTTTTCATGATCTGGGAGTCCTATTTAAATATATATACCATGTATCTGGTACTATCAGTAACCAATGCTCTGATTAACTTTGTTCTGAAAACCACATTAAAAGTAATAAAAATCAAACAAATCTAAAATTGGAATAGCACCTTACTCTCAGCAAGGAAAACAGTGAAGCATGAAACTTGAATTAAAACAACCAGGTTTCAGGCCCCAGCTCTGCTGCTCCCAGTGAATGAGGCTGGACACGGCAGCCACTCGTCCTTTTCCCTGTCTATAAAATAGGCATAATAAAACCTACCTCTGAGGTTTTTACATGAATTGAGACAGTAGATTTGAAAACTCTTTGTAACTATTACCACATTTTCAGACCATAAGACGGCCCCCCCCCCACAATTTGGGAGAAATAATGGTTGTTAATGCTGCTGTTGAGTTCTGTTTACATTTACATTGGTGATATATTATGTTATTTATGCTATTAAGCATTTTACCACATTTTTTGCTTCAAAAATTTTTTTTCCTTATTTCTTCCTCTAAAACCTAGGTGCATCTTATGATCTGAAAAAACACGGGTAAATATTTTTCTTCTTGGCTCTCACAGCAGGAGTACCTATCTAAAATGCTCTGTACATGGCCAAAGACTCTAAAGCACGTGTGAGTCCTAAAGGTAAGTTTGGACCTTGGCATCAAGAGAATCCTCACCTTGAATGTTCGGATAAAGGGCCATGAAAAGAATCGCCCACCGTAACACATTGGTTGTAGTTTCGGTTCCAGCAATGATGAGTTCGCCCACGGAGAAAATTAGGTTCTCTTTGGAGAAAGTAGATGACGGGTCATTTTTACTTTGGTCCATCTCATCTAAATAAGCATCAATAAAATGCTGGGGTAACTGAGGCTTTCTGTTGATGGCAGCTTTTTCAATAAGTCTGGAGAGAAAATCATAGACCACAGCGGCATTTCTGAACAGCTGCTGGTGTTTTCCAAAAGGCAAGATGCCAATCCATGGGAAGGCATTATACAGGAAGACTGAGGCGCTGGCAGCGAGTTCCACGTTTTCACTAAATAGCTCGATCATGTGCTGAAAATCAGTGTCTTCATAGGTGAATCGGTCTCCAAAAATGATCAGATTGGTTATGTTTGAAACAGCATTTGTTATCAACTGTTTAAAGTCAAAAGGTCTGCCTTTGTAAGTTTCAACAGCGCCAATGAAAAATTTGGTTTCTTCTAAAATTTTCGATTCAAAAGACTTTTGACCATATCCAAAATAGCGAAAGCTGTTTACAGCTAATCTTCTGTGATCAACCCATCCTCGGCCATATTTTGAATTGAGTAAGCCTAAAAAAAAATTTAAAAAATTTATCATTCCTACATCCCTGTATCTAATAGCTAAAGAGGCTATGGAGTGGGGGGAAAAAAGATGATTAGTCATTCCTTTCCAAATTATGTTTCCATAAAACTAAAACTGGACCCAGTAGATAAGCCCTGTTTTCTACTACTCATTAGCCATAAAATATTATAAACATAAAAAAGCTTGTCTACCATCATCTGGGGGCAGGCAGAACAGACCTATAATTCTCCCACCACAAGACATTGGACAGTCATGTGTAATTCAACCTGGGTGAACTAGGCCCAGGTGACTTTATTATCCAACTTTTACTATAAGCCTAATTTACAAAAAAAAAAATGACTGCATGTTCTATGAGCAAAATTATATTTTGGACTAAATAAATACCTGAGATCATATTTCTAAAATTAGAAATTTTAGGAGACTAAATTTCAGCATACAAATTTCCTCCTGTTAAAGGCACAGGTTGCCTAAAATAACTCTGGCAGAGGCAAGGGTGGGCTGAATGAGGTGTTAATGTAGTGAAAATACACAAGCAAAAAAGAGAATACTATGGCTGAGTGTTTGTGTCTCCACAAAATTCCTATGTTGAAGCCTAACCCCCAATGTAATGAGGACGGGGGGCCTTTGGGAGGTAATTAGGACATGAGGGTAGAGCCCTACTGAATGGGATCAGTGCCCTTATAAGCAGGGAGAGAGCAGAGGTGCTTGCTCTGGACCATGTGAGGATACAGGAAGAAGGTAGCTGTGGACAAGCCAGGAAGCAGGCTCTTTTCAGACACCGGGTCTGAGAGTGCCCTGATTTTGACTTCCCAGCCTCCAGCTCTGTGAGAATAAATGTCTGTTGTTAAGCCACTCAGTCTATGATATTTTTGTTATAGCAGTGGAACTAAGACAGAAGGCAAACATGAAACTCCAGCTTCTAATGTTCATATTTCTTGCCTTATAATTTCTGACTCTCCATAAAATACTGTGCTGTTCTGATGTGGCTGCTATGGAATAGTTTCCCTTTAAATTAGTTATCAAGAAAAAAAAATCTTTAGCACATATATTTATGTAGCATGTACTTTATTCAAAATTCCATTCATAACTGGTATGTAAGTACACCTATAATGAAAAATGTCATGTTCTCTTTTCTATACGAGGTACCTATGTAATCTATATTCCAATAATGTTTGTACAACAATATTTTAATTTAGAGCTGTGCGGAAATCTTATATTCCTATATTTCATTCTCTTTCCACACTCCCAGACAACTGTTCATTCAACAAATACTAAGTTGGTCTGAAGGTTGTGGGTTATCATTAAGCTGATTAACAAGTACTCATTCCACACATACTTATGACACACCTACTATGTTCCAGGCAGCTTTTTATGTGTCACAGATATCCCAGTGAACAAAAGTGGCAAAAGATCCCTACTGTCATGGACCTTACATACTAGAGAGGAGAGGCAAGTGAATAAATAAATGATACAGCAAGGAAGCAGATATAGGGTGGTCAGGGAAAGCTTCAATGAGAAGGTGACATAAGCGAAGACACAGATGACAAAGCAAGTCCAGCAGCTCTCTGGGGAAAGATCACTGCTGGCAGGGGGCGCAGCTAACTTAAGGGAAAGGCACTGAGATGAAAGCAGGCCCTGTGGAAACATATGCGTATGTGACACATGTACAAGAAGGTACAGATGGGCCTTGTAACAACCCTACACTGGCCAAGTTGTATGCTTGGCCAACTCTTCCCCCAGGAGTAGGCTAATGGTAACTCTGGTTTCTCAGTTCCAAGTTCAATGCACATGTATCTTAAAATAACACACAGTTTTCTACCTATTTTTCTTTTACTGGTTTTTGAAAACCTTAAGTTCAATGCTTATTTTATCTTTATTTATAATAAAATAGTCCAAATATAAATTTATAGCTTTGAAAAAGATATAATATATATTTTACCACAAATATTACTCTGATCATACCACCTTTTATTTTCATAATTTCTTTAAAGGTCTTCTACTTTAATTGTGGTATAATTTCTTCTTTTGCCTAATTATTATTTAGAAAATTATTTCAGAGTCTGGAAATTTGAATTGTATTTATACTACTGCTTTCAAGTATCATTATTCTCTGTCCTAAGAATTTGGCATTAAAAAACTAGTGTTCCCTTTGCATTAGTTGATTTGCTTTTTGAAATAATATATGGTTAATTTTTATGTTTTTCTTTTCAATCAGTATCTTTTTAGTCTATCTAATCAAGGTATTATTAATTTTTTTTAAAAAGTAAGTGTGAAGTGCCCTGGCTAATGTGGCTCAGTGGACTGAATGCTGGCTTCCAAAACAAGAGGCTGCCTGACAGTTCCTAGTCAGGGCACATGCCTGGGTTGCAGGCCAGGTCCCCAGCAGGGGGCGTGTGAGAGGCAACCACACATTGATGTTTCTCTCCCTCTCTTTCTCCCTCCCTTCCCTTCTCTCTAAAAATAAATAAATAAAAATCTTAAAAAAATAAAAAAGAAAGGCTGCTTCAGGTTCTATAATCATATAAGTACTCTCACAAAGTACCCAAGGCTGGCTTCAAAAAGCACTTTTGATTCAAGTGTGCATACACATGTATACATTCCTAACTTGTCTCACAAAACCTGCACATATTAGTAAGTGCTAATTCTTTAAGACATTATTTACACTATTTATTAGAACTCGATTACAACAGTAAAATTCACAGGTACAGGTCTAAAATATTGTGGTGGGCAAAAGTAGATTTACAGTTGTTCATATGGAAAACAATATACTAATCAATAAATAATAAATAATACACGAACAAACTGTGTTTGACGTTTGTCTCACAACTGTAAATCTATTTTTGCCCACCCCTGTATGACTGTAATGTAGCCTGAAAGTCCTCAAACACTAAGGTGTGTAGCTTAAATTGATTAATACTTCCCTGTTAATCCATACAATAGAATCCAAACTCTATGTGCTAAATTTACATAAGAAATGTGATTCAAAATAGTACAGCAATCACTAAAAAAGGTGAAAATGAACATACCTCCCATTTTTGTCATCTTCACGAATAAAGGAAGGCATGGTCTATCTGCAAAAATTTCACTCTGATGAACAAGGCACTCTTTTACTACATCATAGCCATTTAGAACCACAGTTGATATACCTCCAAGATCTAAACTGAAGATCTTTGAGAAGAAAAGAAAAACAACATTTAAATGGCAAAGTATATGGAGAAATATAACCATGACAATAAACATGTACTAAGCCAGTTCTCCCAGATTTGTTACTTCCCTGAAAACATAGGCATTTATTACTCAATAGACAATGTTTGGAATGCCTTCTCTCTACAAGGCATATGGATTCAATACCCGAAGACAATCTTTTCAATGGTATTAATGGAAGGAGTACCAGACTCCGAAGGTCTGGGTTCTAATTTAAGCTTTGCCATCAAACAGATATAGGATCCTGTGCAGAACCCGTAATACTTTGGGGTATCAGGGTTGTCGCAGAAAATATGGTACTTGATTTAGATGCTCTTTTAAGATTCACTCCAACTCAAAACATTCAATGATATTGAGGAATTTCTTTTTATTACCAAGACAAGTGGAGAGACAGCACCGTCTACATAGTCTTTATTACTCCAGACTTAGGTAGGGAAGGGGATTGCCAAAGGCATAAAAGACAACTTTGAAGTGTAAACATATTGTAACTAGGCCCATTTGTATTCAGGTCCCTGAATTCCATGCAGTTGACAAAGCAGGCCCTAAGGGAATATGACCTGGGAAGAAAGGCATTGTCAAAATCACAAAAATTCAACTGAGTAAATTCGAAGATCTAATTTACTTCATTGGATGATTCATGAATTGAACAGTATCCCATCTAGCAAGCAGAAAGGAGCTCCAAAGACCTGTGGAAAAGGAAAGGATTTTAAAGGCAGAGAAGAGATAAGAAAAGGAAATCATTGTTTCAGGCAAAGTCACTCTCCTAAGCGGAACAAAGAAGTCTACCCAGTACCTTATCTAACTAGTGCTGAAATGGTAATTTCACGTTGATTAGTCAAAGGTTACATTCCTGGTGGAGGTTGAAACTGAGTTAACTTAGATACTAAGTCCTGCTTTGCTGACATGGGGTTTTTTAGCAGAAGTGACTCCATTTTGGGCCTGTGGTCTCCTTTTAATAGTATTTGCCATATAGGCACAGGTGGCTACCCCTCATTTAAGGGGAAGGCCCAGACAGAATACCCATGCTATGCCTTGTAAGAGCTTCTCACGTGCTTTAGCTCAGGTTCACCCTCAATGTCACACCTCTTACAGTCATTCTAACTAGGCCCATTAAGGGACTAGTCCAGTGAGAGAAGAGTGCTACCTTATCAGTGGGATGCAAAGAATGCTTATCCCCATCCTCTGAGGATTTGGCTGAGAGTTTTTTGGAGACAAAACACTGAGTAAAGCCTCATCTCTGCAAACAAAACAAAAGGCTTGGCAGAGAACAGAAGTTCAGCAGAAGTAGTTACAGCAGCAATAGTGATGAAAACTCCACGTAGGAACAGAATCAACCATCTGAGCAATGGAGTCTTTGGCCCAAAAATAGGCCCTGCCAACTGAGCAGCAGGTACACCTGGAACCTTGGGGGAGGAGCATGGACTGCCTGCCACAAGCAGTGGTATCAGTCAAAAGCAGCGGTGCTAAGAGTTTCAGCTGAGCAAAGGTGGGACTTTTTCAGTTCCCAAAGCAGAAATGAAATGGTCTGAAAATGAAGCATTTACCCAGAAGTGTAATTTTAGTAGATATAAAGGAAAACTTCCTCCTCCTGTGTGTCTCCTCTACTCCCAATACTCTACTACAGGGGTCCCCAACCTCTGGGCTGCAGACCAGTCAGGGTCTGGGCTTGTTAGGAACCAAAGCTGTACAGCAGGATGAGTTCAAATGTAAAGTGTTTGAATCATCCTGAAACCATCTCCAAGCCCAGTCCATGGAAAAATTGTCTTCCATGAAACTGGTCCCTGGTGCCAAAAGGGCTACACTTCTTCTTCTTCTTCTTTTTTTTAACATTTTACTTATTTTTAGAGAGGGTAAAGGAGGGAGAAAGAAAGGAAGAGAAACATCAATGTGTGGTTGCCTCTTGTGCACCCCTCACTTGGGGACCTGTCCCACAACCTAGGCATGTGCCCTGACTGGGAATTGAACCAGTAACCCTTTGGTTTGCAGGGCGGCACACAATCCACTGAGCCACACCAGCCAGGGCTCTTCTACACTTCTGACACCAGATGTGTAGGTTTTCCACACATCAAGCAATTCTGGGACAATAGCTGGGTGTCCTACAATTCAACTCAATTCTGATAGATCTACCTGGAGACAGTGCCAGGTTCCACAAATTAAGAGATCAGTGCCACCCTGGTTGGTGTGGCTCAGTGGATTGAGCACCAGCCTATGAACTAAAAGTTGCCGGTTCAATTCCCAGTCAGGGCTCTTGCCTGGGTTGTGGGCCTGGTCCCCATTTGGGGGGGTGTGAGAGGAAACCTATCAATGTTTCTCACATTGATGTTTTTCTCCCTCTTCTTCTGCCCCATCTTCTGCTCTCTCTAAAAAAATTAATAAAATCTTAAAAAAAAAAAGATCAGTGCCACAAGAGTTCTCCCCTACTTCAGATGCCAATCACAAGTCCAGGTTGTTACCTGTGCTTCTGACTAACAGGCTATAAATCAGGGGTTTGCATGACCTTCTCCTCAGGTTCAATTAACTGGCTAGAGTGGCTCACGGAACTCAGGAAGATATTTTACTTGCTAGATTTTAGCTTTATTATAAAAGGCTATAACTCAGGAGCAGCCATGTGGAAGAGATGCTCAGGGCAAGGTATGGGGAAGGGGTGGGAAGCTTCCACGCCCTTCCAGCCATGCTACCCTCTGCTCACGTCCATGTGCTCACCAACATGGAAGCTCTGCAAACGCTGTAATTTGAGAATTTTTGTGGATAGTTTATTACCTACACGTGATCAATTAAATCACTGACTACTGGTGACTGATTCAACTTCCAGCCCCTCTCCCCTCTTCAGAGGTAAGGGGAAGGGATCAGACTGAAAGTTCAACCCTCTAATCCTGATTGGGTCTCCCAACAACAAGCTCTCATTCTTTAAGCTTTCTAAAAGTTACCTCATTAACATAAACTCAGGTGTGGTTGAAAGGCAATTGTTAGAATTTTAAAAAAATAGACACCTTTACCCTTTATCACTCTTAAGACAGGAAATTCCAAGGGCTTTATGTGCCAATTAATAGACAAAGACCAAAATATGTATTTCTTACTATAAATCACAATACCACAGCAGAGATAATAAAAGGGTGCCATTAGTGAATAGCCAATGGTCCTGATGTAGGAAACAGACTGATGATTTCACAAGGATGATAAAAGATCCTGGGATTGAAAACTGTTAATATGAAGGGAGAACAAACGGGTGTCAATTTTAGGGTAAACTGTCAGGCTGTGGGCACCAGGGATTACAAAAACCAAGGAGGATCCATGCTTGAGAATGCTGTTCTACAATCCACTTTTACTCAAAAATTCAAAATGTCCCTGTACTTGATGATAAAACTGGGGAAACTATTACTACAACTAGCATCTATTCTGTATTTCACTGTTTTTCAGGTGTTTTGGTAAAAGTTTTGTGTATAAAACTGAAAACTTATCCTTAAGCTACTTTGATTATGAAATGATCCAAATGAAGTTTGTGTGTTCTCTGACTTATTCAGTAGTTTTTAGTATTATTATGGGCTAGTTATGATGCAGGCAGAGATGGAAAACAGGAACACACGAATTACTTTCTTTGTTTTCTAGAAGTTAGTCTATGATCTTCAAGCCTCTTTCCTTCCCTCAAACCAGCTCTACCTACAATTTTTCACTATCGCAGTTAATGACTACTCCATCTATCCTTCAAGCTACTCAGGTCCTAAACTACCCATGAGCTTCCCGTGTTGACTCAATTTTCTCTGCCTAATTCCACATCACTGCTCAGTAGTCATGTTGTTTCCGCTTTCACTCAGAGGGTGTCCAACCTGCAGCCCATGGGCTGCATGCAGCCCAGGATGGCTGTGAATTCAGCCCAATACAAAACCATAAATTTACTTAAAACAATGAGATTTTTATGTGATTATGTGTCATAATGTATTTAATGTGTGGCCTAAGACAATTCTTCTTCCATGGTGGCCCAGAGACACCAAAAGCTTGGACACCCCTAAACGGAGGACAATTTCTTCCCACTTCTACCACTGACACTCTAATCCAAGCCACCTGCATGTGTCCCCTATGCTATCACCACAGTGTCTTGTCTCTTTACAGATGGTTTTCAACATGGCATGCTCCAGCTTCATGCCCTTTGTACTTGTTCTCTTGGCCTGGAATGCTCTTTCCCTAGATACTCCTATAGCTTGCTCATTCATTTTCTTTAAGTCTTTGTTCAGATGTCTTCTTTGCAGCGAGGCCTGCTCTGACTAGCCCATTTAAAACTTCACCCCTTAGTATTTTCCATCTCCCTTGCCCTAATTTAGTTTACTTCATACTCTGTACTTTAACATATTGTATAATTATTATGTTTATATTGTCTGTCTTACTACCTTCCTCCCATCCCCACCTGGTGAGAATGTAAGCGACACGATTTGTTTTGTTCACTGCTCTGTCTGCATACCTAGAATAGTACAAAACATAAGGTGACAACTGATAAATATATGTTGAATTAGTAAAGAGTGGTGGAGGCATACATTTAAGCAGATTATTAGCCCTGGCTGGTGTGGCTCAGTAGACTGAGTGCCAGCTTGCCAACCAAAGGGTCATTGGTTTGATTCCCAGTCAGGGCACATGCCTGGGTTGCGGGCGGGTCCTCAGTGAGGGGCATGCGAGAGGCAACCACACATTGATGTTTCTCTTCCTCTTTCTCTTTCCCTTCTCCTCTCTCTAAAAGTAAATAAATAAAATCTTTAAAAAATAAAAAGCCAGGTTATTATGTGCTAATTACTACGTACATGGGTTAAGTGCTAGTAACAGAGGAATGCGAAAAATGCTATTGATAAAAACTGATAAGTAATTGCCACACACTTTTTCACCTTCACTTGTCTTGTTTTCTCATTTAGAATGCCTCCCTCAACTGCCATACTATCCAAACCATTCCACGTCTCTAGGGACCATCCTCCATGAAGCCTGTCTTGGAGCACTCTCTCCCTCTCCTTTGACCCACCACAGCATATGCTTAGAAGCTCCCAGGGAACATATTTAATACTCCCTTGTCACAAACATTCACATTCTTTTTTTTCAAAGCCTTTATTTATTTTTAGAGAGAGGGGAAGGGCGGGCAAAAGAGGAGAGAAACACCTATGTATGAGAGCTACATGGATCGGTTGCCTCTTGCACACCCCCAAATGAGGACCTGGCCCCGGCAACCCAGGAAGGAGCCCTGACTAGCAGGCCGATGCTCAATTCACTGCGCCACACCATCCAGGGCCAGAAACATTCATATTCTTGTCTTCTCTTTGCCTGCTAAGTTATAAATGCCTTAGAATAAATGATTCCAAGTCTTTCATCTTTGAACCTTCCATAGAATCCTGTTCAGTGCCTTACATAAAAGTCTCAATAAATGGTTACTATATATTGTAAATGATAAGTTGTCAACTCCACTTGCCTTGAAGTAATTACTTTATTGTCCTATGTGTACTATCTGAAAATAATCTGTAAAAAATATTTGTTTACCACTTTACTAGTTAGGGAATGTTTCTCAAAATTTGAATTAAGATTAAAGTCACTGTAGAAGCTGACACATTCAGAATGAATCTCCAAGGAAATGGTAATTCTTGGCAGGGTATATTTCTATTTCAGACTGCCTTTAAAAAGAATGCATAAGATCTGAAGACTGGTTGTCTTCAATTATAAAGGAGAACTGAATTCACAGACTTCATAAAGTAGACGTCACTTGAAGTGACTGTCATTTCTCATAAGCAATTTTCAAGTCCAGGTTTTTTATATGAGCCCACATCTCCAAATTATAAAGTCAGATAGTGCAAAAATAAGATTACATTTACAAATAAGCCCTATAAACAACTTTCTACAATCTTCCAGTAGTACTCCTCCCACTTCCAAAAAAGGTATAGTACTAATATTATACCTGTATAGTGTACTAACAACTTATTCTAACCTTGAGACTTCGTCAGATTGGGGAACACCTCTAAGATAATGGGAGACCTTTAAGGATATTTCACAACTAAGATAAAGATAAAATGCTGCTATAGATTTACAGAGTTAATGTTAGGTGGTATTTAACTTAAGTCTAAGGTGGAGTCAGACAGTGTCTACATCTTTCTTGTTACTTTCTCCTTTTCCTCTACTCCTTTTGCCTATTAAAAAAGTTTGATTTTACCACTTCCAGTAAAGAGCCCTCTTTGTAAAGAACCGTGGCGACCTAAAATAGCTGGACCAGCAAAACACACACACACACACACACACACACACACACACACACAAAGAAGGTTCAGTCATGCCAAATTCTTAAATCCGTTGAACCAAATCTACCTATCCCAAGATAAATTTTGCAGCATGTTTCTAATTTAATTTGTAATGTTATGATAGGATACTTGGATTACCACCTTCCAGAAAAGAATGTTCATGTAAAAACTGCATTCATGTCAGTTCAAATATTTATATATAAAAACCACATTCCTCTTCTGCAAGACACCATTTCACAAAATTGGTTTCACAAAATTGGTTCACCTTTGAACTTGTAGGTCTAATAAGTTGTTCTGTAATTAATCACCAAGAACATCAGAGTAGCACTTAACTGTTCTTAGTTACTATTATTCTCATTACATACACGAGGAAATATTAAGATGCAAAGACGGAAAGGTCAAATTTTTCTGACGAAAGAGGATCAACCTCTAGTCTCATACTCTCATATCCAATAATTTTTCTCTAGAATATTATGATGCTTTGTGCTGACACAGCAGAAATAAACTATATCAAATGGAAACACACTCAAATCTCGGAGAACTTGAGGGTGAAAAAAATCTTATGTTTGTTTTTCCTAAAGTCAGCTACCCTTTAGAGATACAAAACATTAGTGAGCTGCAGAAAATTAGACTAATTCTTGTAAAACCGGGTTTAGATAAAGATTTAAGCCCCAACCTGAAACACAGTTGCCAAACAACCCTGCTGTACTGTTCCTTCAAAGCACTCACCACAGTTTGTGGTCCACAATTTGATCGATTTTCTCACTTGCACTAGACTGTAACTCCCTGAAGCCAGGCTGTGTTGGCCTCCTTTTTCTCTCCATCCCTAGCACCCAACAAGTTTCTGCTGTGTTGCTTCCCATAAATGAATGGACTCAGAACAAAGCAGGTGAGCTCAGTCGGGGCCAGTGCTGTGAAACTGCTGCCTCTTTCTGGGGTCCGGCACCCTTCCAAACATGAGCTTGTGTTCCGGCCCTTTCCCCTACTATTCAGCAGTGGCGAGGCTGTCTGCTGGCCACCGGGCATTTCCGGTTGCAGTCTCCTTCTCCGTAACAGGGAAGACCAGCGGTCGTTTTCCCGGGCACTGAGTTTAAAGGAATCCACGTTGGAAGGGAGGCTGGCCCGCAGCAGGTGCAGGGTTAGGGTTTGCTGTGAGGATGCTGCTGACCTGTCACAATGACACTGCTCACCCTGCGCTGTAGGACTCCGCACCCATTTGTCATTATTCATTTATTCATTCTTTCACAATTCTTTACCGGAGCCCACCTCTCTCTCTGACCAGGGCCTTCCCGGATCCTTGCTAATCCTCACTGCAAAGGCCTAGACCAGCCATGCTCAAAAGCAAACACTCCAGAACCTCCTATTACGTATTCACTCGGTCCTAGAATTTGGGGGCCTACTTTGCAGGGAGACCTGGGGCTGGAACCCCAGCTGGAACTCATTCCTCGAGGGCAGAGCCTGTAGGCCCACTGCGCAGACGCGGGAGCACCACCTCCGCAGTTTAGCTGGCTGAAAGAGCCAGTGCAGCGTCAGGCGGGTGGGAGTCCCGCCTGGGCGGGGCTCCCCGGGCCGGGGCGTGGCTTCGAGGACTACTCCTCCCGACCCAGGAAGTGGGTTTCTCTCCAAACACCGGCTACCAGGAGAGGGGCAGCAACAGATCCCGGCCAGGAGCGGCTGTCGGCCCACCCGGGAGGAAGGCCCGGGCCCTCCCTGCCCACGGCCCGTCGGGCTGTACCTCGCCGTACACCTGGCTCTGCTTTTTCATGTAGACATGGGGGAGCTCAGCTGAGGCGGCCAGCGAGTAGATGTTGCCGATGAATGGCAGCCCCGACGGACCCGGGGGGAACCCCGACGGCCGCCTCTGTTTCAACAGCTGGCGGACCCCCAGCGCGAAAAGCAGCAGGAAGAGCGCGCAGCCCACGGCCGCCGCGCATGCCTCAGCTCCGCGAGGTTCCCACATGGTTGGGGCCTAGGGCCTGTGAACCCGCCGCGGGACTTGGCTCGCCCCATACTCCGCCGTATCCCATTGGCCCGCTACTCTGAGGTCCCGCCCCAGTCTAAGGGCCATTGGCCTCTCGGGTCGGTTACCTCTGTCTGTCTTGGCTCTGAGTTTGCTGTGTGGAGGTGGGTGCCGCCAGCTGGCTGTGGCTGTGGGCGAGCAGCAGCCCCGCTGGCACTGAGTCCGGAGGCCCTTTGCAGGGTGTTGACATCAGGGAGTTGACTACTAGTCAGTTCAGCCTCTCTCACTCGGCAGAACCTGTCTGCTTTGCAACTAGCCCGTACTGAGGGTCTTTTTAGGAATCAGGTCTGCGTATTTCAAACTAGAAACACTGAAGAGCTTATCAACACAGATCTTTAGCTGAACCTGATAATCTTTAGAATCTCCATTAGAGAATTGATAAAGCAATATAAAATATATTATCTTACTACTCATCTGCTCGTTCCTCCTATTTCGAGGCATTTTTGTGTATGATCCCTTGAAAACTGTGATTATGCAATATTTAGATAACCTGAATTAAATACACATCTTTTCACCCCTTCTTGGTCTTCCCCAACTGGTTACTTCCTGCCAATTACAGAGGATTCTCGGTCTAGAGTTGCCCAGGGATAGTACTTACTATTCAACCTTTCTACCTCCACTACCTAAAATTAAGTAACTGACTGCCTATTTGCTATTTCTGTAGCTATTCCTGTTTTCTGTTGAGCAGTTCCTTGCAACACAGGACCTTCTCAGCATGGGACTCTTCTAACCGCTCCTCCCAATTGTGATTCAGCAGTGGCAAGACTTACCGTCCTCATCAGTTTATTAAAGCTCATTCAAACAACAAGTATTTATTGAATGCCTCCTACCATGTGGTATCCTAAACAATGGAGGCACATAGGTGAAAAGAGCAACAAAGTCCCCACCCTCCTAAAATTTACATTCTTGTGAGAGGGAAGAGGAATAAGTACATAAATAATTTTAAATAATCACATGCAAATGAAAATAAAAGTGTGTTATACAGAATGCCTGAGCATGGTGAGATCATTTAGCAGGTAAGGGATGTCAGAAAATGCCTGCTACAGAAGATGACATTTGAGCGACCAAATAAGGAAGTGTATTCGTTTTCCACTGCTGTTGTAACAAGTTACCATGAATAGTGGCTTAAAACAACACAAATCTATTATCTTATGTTTCTTGAGCTCACAAGCCCAAAGTGGATCATCCTGGGCGAAAGTGAGGTGTCGATATGGCTGTGTTCCTTCTAGAGGCTCTAGGGGAGCATCAGTTTTCTTGCCTTTCCCAGCGAGGCTGTCCACGTTCCCCGACTTGGGTCTCCTCCTTTCCTCTTCCTTCAACATCAGCAATGTTAGGTAGAGTCTTTTCACATTGGCTCTCTCCAACTTTCCTGCCTCTCTCTTCCACTTAGAAGCATCCCTGTCATTCCATTAGGCCCACCTGGATAATTCAGGACACACTGTTCAGCCACTTTAATTCCATCTGACACTTTGTTTCCCCTTGCCATGAAACCTAACATGTTCATAGGTTTTAGGTATTAGAACTTGGGCATATGTGGGCTGAAAGAGGGCATTATTCTCCCTACTGGAGGAGGGAAACCTGAGGAACATCTGGAGGGTAATATTCCAAAGAGAGCAAAGGCTTCCATATATAAGGAAGCCCTTTCTTCTGAGAGTGTTTCCAGCCTCTCACTTGATGTAAGAAATGTCTAAACCTGTAAGAATATCTATGAGTTTATTTGAGCAAAACTGATGACACTTGCTGAGAAGCAAAATCTTAACAGATTGAGAAAATGCTCCAGAGAATGGCAGTTTTGCACCTTATTTTATTCATTAGAATAAAAGGAGAAGACATAAGAGGGTCATACAAAATCCAGTGGTGGTAGATTAGGTTGCTGGGAGAAAGCAAAGTGGAGAAATCTGTGGGATTTGATAAAAAGTAAAACAGACACATGCTTCTTTTACATTGATGGGTACAAGATAGTTAACAATACTTAGAGCACACAGAAATGGTATTTGGGAAGCAAGATAACAATGAGGTGTTCTGTGGTTTATCGGTCTGGTAAAGGGATTGCTGTGACATTCCAAAGGCATGTTATCGAAGATGCCAAAAGACAATAGACAGACTCAGTTAAGGTAAACACTGACCTGTATTAAGAAAGATACCAGCCTAGGACGACTACCTACCATGACTCCCTTTTTGTTAGGAAGTTTTAATCATCCTGTGTGGTTACTTTCAGTCTCTGAGTTTGTAAGCCTACCATGTAGGGTCTCCCCTGAGCTTGTCAGGTTTAGTATGTGGCCCTGTTTTACTCCACACTCTGTATATTTCTGACACAAATACACTGAAAATGAGGACAGCCCTTTAGTTAACCTTAGCATTTTGCTTCCTAACTGTTTTGAGCTCACTATCTAGTATGTGGACATCCCCCCAAATCTGAAGGTATGCATCAAAGGATCTCCCAAGTATGGAATATCAACCTATTGAAACAGGGTATGTTTCACAGGATTTTCAGCCATGAAATATCTGCCTACTGCCTAGATACGTATTATCTTTAAAGATACCTTAAATTTCTTTCTTTCTTTTCTTTTTTAGGATGGAGTAATCTTTTATTTTAGACACTTTCACAAAGAGGTTGTCAGTACATGAACTTTCCAGTAGAGATGAACAAACATGAAAATTAGCCTCCAGCCATGGGCAGCTGCTCTGCTCAGGGCCTAGGATCCTCCTTGCCCAAGTGGTGAGGTGGAGGCATGCACTGCCCTTCTTTTATTAGCTTATCCTGCTGCCTCATGATGGTACTCAGTCATTCCATCATTTTCTGCCAAAGCAGACATTCTACAAAATCTGCATATTCTGACTTGCACTCTTTCTCTGCAGATACCACTGGTTCCATGTGCACATTCTATCCACTCTTTTTCAAAAGCATGGCACGAGATGGAATCTTGTGAGGCTGCTCAGCACTTTGGATTGTCATCCAGGGGTCTAAGTCAATGCCCCGCCTTTTCTGTATGTCAGAGAAATGCGTGGCATCCTGCCATGGTGCCCTTGTCCATTCACTGGTTGTGAGTACTGCATGATCTAAATTTCTTAGTCAAGAATCTTCTAGTGAAATGGAAAAAAATGTGAGAAAGTGAGGGCTAAACTTATTCCTCAATGACTTACCTGAGGCCAGTGGGGATGACCAAAGGTGGAAATTGGGACTGCAGGTGGGACACAATGACACTGAGGCACCAGGAGCAGAAGAATGTCACCCATGGGAAGCCGGGGGTCAGCCCTGCCTGCCTTCCCCAATATCATCAGGCTTGCGGTATCTGGTCTGGTCACAACTGTTAAATGGTGCTGGTTTTCTGTTCAAGAGTGGCCCCCTCCCATCATTTATATTCACAAAAATTTATTTCCTTTTCAAAAATATGCTGCCACTCATTTAAATTAAGGACCATTCCTTCTTTGGCATTCTCCTCCTGGCTGCAGCAGCTGAGGAGAGCTGGAATCCTGACAGTAGGCTAACTGTATAGAAATCAGAGGCCTCCTCCCCTCCCCAATGCCCTTTGGGGGATGGTGGGAGGAGGGTCCTCAGAAATCACTAAAAGTTTCTCAGAACATGGGTCCTTCCCTGTCATCATTTATCATGGTTCTAGGTGCTCATCAGAGAGAAATAGCTCACTGCATTTGCTGCTAGCATTAGAGTGAAAACTAATATTTGCCTATGGAGTTTAACATGACAGGCTTGTTTGGTGGAACAGGAAGGGAAGGATGGATATTAATTAATTGACAAAGATTGAACACCAGGCAAGGTGGGGACTCCACAGTGGTCAAAGGAAGACTTTCATAAGGCTGCTGAAATTCTACCCAGAGGTCCCACGGCTCTGCCAGTCCTACCTCAGAGTGCCTGGCTCTTAGGAGATCCAAGGAAATCAAAGTGAAACAGTGATGTTTCATGACAGGGACCCTGTCTTCAGTATGCAGGGTGGAATGGGTCCCTGGAGAAATGTGAAAACCCTGTATGTACCTATAACATTTCTGCATGCAGGTAGTAACAGAGGACAGCGTTGCTGGACTGGATCAAAAACCTTTTCCTTTGCCTTTGGGACCTGTCCCTGCAGGGTTCATTCTGAAGGCCAGCATCAGATGAGAGTGTCTCCAAGGCTCCCTGCCAGTTCATGGATGGCTGTGACCTGAAAGCCTGGCCTGAGTCTTGGGTGCTGGCCAGACAGTCCTTCCCTAGCACACAAGAATGCAATGAGCAGAAGTGTGTCTCCTTTGCACATTCCATTAAGGAAACTCACGGTTGTATTTCATCAAAATGAAAGGATGTGAGAGTCAGAGAAAGTACCCTGCCAAGCCATACTGGACTCTGAGGTTAAAGAAAAAAAAAATCAACCATATTGATCTTGGCTCATCCAAAATGCGATATCTTATTTATCATGGATTTTTGCAATAATTTTGATGTTAAAGTGTTACATTAGCATATTATCTTCATTATTGAGCTTTTTAGTGTCCCCTTAAACTTTGCTCCTGAGGTAAGGTGAATGCCTCACCTGCTTCACCTTAGTCCCATCCCTGGGACTAAGGGTATCAGGATAATGATTTTGATGATGAAGTGGTATACAGGAACTGGGATGGCACACTTTGATTTTCCTGGATCTCCTAAGAGCCAGGCACCAAGAGGTAGGACTGGCAGAGCCGTGGGACCTCTGGGTAGAATTTCAGCGGCCTTATGAAAGTCTTCCTTTGACCACTGTGGAGGTCCCCAACTTGCCTGGTGTTCAATCTTTGTCAATTAATAGCAATTAAACATTCCCCCAAATAGACTGAGTTGAAAAATGCAGACCCTCATGGCAAAAAGTACAATGATAGGAAGTCCCTAAAACTGCATTTATATGTGAATGAGTTTATTTCAACGTGTTCTTAGTTGGAATCAGGACACATGGGAGGCATGATGCTTGAATTTTTGGAGG